TCTGCCTCCCGAGTGCTGGGATTAAAGGCGTGCGCCACCACTGCCCGGCTCAACAGCACTTTTTCAAAAAGGCCAAGAGTTAGAATTGAGTTAGGATGAACAAGATTGGCCATGATTGTGACACCAAGGCCACAGGGACAATGTGGTGTGGTGGCGAGAGCGTCATTTCTGGGCAGTGTGACCCTGGACACGAGAGCTGCAGTGTCGGCCCCTTCTCTCCACACGGGTAGGCTCTGCAGGGATGCTGTGAGCACGGATGACATGCAGTACTCCTGGCTGTGTACAGGGACAGGACAGCACCCCAGGGATGGAAACCCCACCCACCCTGTCAGCAGCAACTCCGACTGCCACTGGGACCCAACCTGGGGCGATCTGAAGCATCAGGGGCACTGAGACACATGGAAAAGAGCTCCTGGCCGCCAGTTCCAGCCCAAAGCCTTCTGGTCCCTTAGAGGAGTGTGAGGGATAGTTCAGGACGAGGGGTGAGGCCCTGGCCTCTGGAGATGCGCACCTGGCCTGCTCTGCAAATAGAAGGCCTCACAAACTCCCGCTGGGTCACCCTCCTCGCCATATCCTGCTAGACTAAAGAGGGACCCACCAAGACCCTCATGGTTCTAGCAAGACTCCCCCTCACACGGGTTCTCCACCACAGAGGCCCTCAGGACTGAGCCCAAAGGCTCCCACTGCAGCTGACGTGGGCTACTCTCATATTGCCCTAGCACCCCCAAGTGGCTCTGGACAGGACCCATCCCCAAATGTATGCTGTGCACTCTGGAACGCTCTACTCGGCATTAGAATCACCTGGCTAGCCTTCGACTCTCTCCATCACCTCCTGGTATAAGAAGCCTGGCTCTCCCTGGAGCCCTGTGGAGTGAGGACTGTTTCCTCTCTCTAAGACCCCTGGGTCTGGAGAGGCCTCCTCTCTAGACCCTCTCAGCCCCTTCCAAGGCAGGTCAGCAGAAACCCTCTCTGGCCCCTTCCTTATATATCAACTCTAGTCCTTCAGGGACTTGCTGTTGATTCCCATGGCCATGGCCCGTCCTCTGACTTCTGATGACCATCCATCCATCTCAGTGCCATCCTCTTATAACATCAAGCCCAATCCTGCCCTGGTCAGCGCCTGCATCCAGCGCAGCCTCATACAGCACCCCTCAGTCGCTGACAGTTCCCTGAGCGCGCCTCCCCAGTGCCTGACCATCCCAGTCTGGATCCCCATCAGAGTGCCAGCCGGCACCAGCCGCCCATTCTCCTCCTGCCTGCCTTGCCAGCTCCCACCTCTGGCCCCTTCCGATTCTGCTGCTGTCCCCATCCCGGGCTGCTGACCCCCAGAGAACGATCAGCCACGCTGAGCGGTACTCTTGAGGCCCTGACACTTCAGAAGCTCCACTCACTTCCCTTCTGAGCTCCCTTCTACCCGCCCCTCCCCGCCAGCCTCTGCAGCTGTACACAGAAAGGAGGCTGGCCACACAGGGACTCCAGAGTGCAGGCCTGTGTTCAGATCCTCCACCAGCGGTGCGCCGAGACCTGTCTGCAAGATGCACTTTCACAGAATGTCCCTTCGTGTCGAAACTCTTCCTTTAAACTTGTTGTTAGTGTTTTTGGTTTTTTTTTTTTTTTTTTTTTTTTTTTTTTTTTTTTTTTTT